TTATATTAATAAAAAAGTAATTTTATATAATCAGTCATTTCACGTCATCCAACTGATGAATCTTCATTTATGTAAGGGAGGATTCAAGTTATATGTCCTGACAGAATTAAGCCGGAAAAGTTAAGATTCTAAAAAATTGGTAGCAATGATAGTTCTTAGCATTTTGGTCCTTGTCCAAAATATTGATGTTTAACCATTCATTACTTTGCATGCTGACATTATCTCTGTATAATTTATTTGAAATGACATATAAATATGAATAAATCTACTTGCTTTAAAGATGTTTCCAAAGCTTCAATAAATATACATTTGATAGATATATAAATATTAGCTCGTGTTCATTTAATTTGCCAGGATAATCTGATTACCAAAAGAAATTCTCACAAATGGCTAAAACCTGATTACTGGTTCATAGTTGCATATTAATGTAAATAGGAAAAAGAAAATTGAAATATTTTAAGTGTTTGAATTCTCTAAAATACAGCATGATTTCTGGAAGCATTATAACTATTTAATAAATTCGAGAACTATTGTCAGTGACTAATGAATAATACAGACTGAAACCACTTCTTATCTTTCTAATCATGAAGTAGATATAAATACACGAATAGTAAATTACATTTTAAAATATCAAAATTATATTGGTATTTCTAATTCTCACTTCTCATCAGGACTACTATAAAAACTTTCTTCCCAATCTTCTGGACTATAGTCTGGCCACTTTCCAATTTATTCTCCCCCTTTCTGGCGAGGTAAAGAGTTAAAATGCAGATGTGTCCATGACAAGCCCCTTTTTAAAACCCAGTGACTCCAAGGCTTTCAGAATAAAATTCAGACTCAGCAAGGCAGATAAAAACTGATCCCTGCCTATCTCAGCCTCTCTCCCCACTAACACTGAATTATTTGCAGGTCCCCATATGTCTTGTGTTTTCCTGTCTCATGGTGTTTCCTCTATTGGAAATACCTTTTCTGTTTCTGTGTCTAACTTCAGCGTTTTCATGACTCAGTTCAAACTGAGTCTCTCCCCGTGTCTTCCAACCGTCATTCCCAGTGACTTTCTTCAGACATAATTTCCTTATCTGATTGAGTTCTGTGTCCTTCATCTATGTTCTCTTTGTCACTAACACATAATTTAAAAAAATAAACTAATTATGTATATGTTCAATGAACTTACAGTTTGCTAACACAACAGTTTGCTAACTTGTCCATCTCAGCCTGTGGGCTGTTAGTTTCTATAAACAGGGACCTTGTCTTTTGTCTCTAAACCACTAAAACTGAACACAATGCCCAACAGTGAAGAGTCACCAAACACATTTTTGTTAAATAAATATAAGTGAATGGGAAATAATTAATAATTTTCTATGGGCAGGGGTAATGTTCAAAATATTTAATAACTAGTTGCCAGAGCACCTATTGGTCACACCGGAACTACTGCACCACCAAGTGTCAGCCTGGGCTGTGGATATTTTTGACTTTTTTATACAAACAAGGAGAAAATGCACACACTTTCATGCCTACCTTCAACCAGACTATTTTAGAAAAACACAGAGACATAATATATTGGAAAGCACCTAGATATATGTACACAGTGGCCGGTAATGCTGCATTGTTAAGCCATTATGTGTGAAGAGAAATGCTTCCCTATAAAGTTTACAATGGTGTTAAAGTGCTGCCAAGTCCTGTCCTAATTACCCCGAGGCGTGTTTCACATTCTCTGATGGGCTATTTCTTGTTAAATAGCAGCAAGTTAAGAAAGGATAATTTCCACGTTTAGGACCTGTAGTAAATCTTTATTGCCTTACTTCACACGTTTTGTAACAGTGAACAGTTCCCCCATCTCCTGAGGAAGGTGTTGCCTTGGCTCAAGTTTCCTGCATGTTTAAAAAAAAATTTTTTTAGGGCCGGCCCGGTGGCGCACTGCTACAGTGCGCCGCTTGGGAAGCGCGGCGGCGCTCCCGCCGAGGGTTCGGATCCCACATACAGACCGGTTCCCGCTCACTGGCTGAGCGAGGTGCAGGGAGCAACACCAAGGGTTGCGATCCCGTTGCCGGTCATGAAAAAAGACAAAAAGGAAAAAAAAAATTTTTTTTTTATTGAAACACAATTAATTGTATATATTTTGGGGAAACAGCGTTGACTACCATCTATACTGCAAAAGCTAATTAAGCCCCTACTTCCATTCTTGTCTTCTGCCATTCCAAGCCAAGACATCTGTTGTCACCACAGTGAACTCTCTGAAATGCAGATGTGATCATGATACTCTATTCACAACCATTCAACTGTTCTGCATCACATGAGAAACATCTTAAGGCAATTCCGAAAAATGAGCTTTTTAATAAATGCACGTGCTTGGGCTTTGCACATGGAAACTCCCAATTCAGTAGGTGCAGGGTAGTACGTAGGCATTCTTAACAGTTTTTCCAGGAGATTCCTTCACACAGCCAGGCTGAGGACCACTCATGTACAGGATAAATTCCCAACTCCACACAGGACTGTGGTGAGGAGAGTGACAATCCTGGGACCCTGGCCTACAGCCAGCCCTTCTCTTCCCACCCCCGGCTCCATGCACACCACAGGAGCATCTCATGTAAAGGTGTGGGCCCCCAACCTGCACATGTTGTTTATCTTCTACTTCCATCCTCCTTAGCAAACAACTCAAGGGTTGTGTATTAGATTCCTTTTCCTGCTGTTACAAATTACAGCAAATACAGTGGTTTAAAACAACACAAATTTATTCTTTTATAGTTTTGAAAATTAGTCTTTTAGGGCTAAAACCAAGATGTTGGCATTGCTGTTTCCTTCTGGAGGCTCTCAGTGAGAATCCATTTCCTTGCCTTTTCCAGTTTCTAGATCTGCGTTCCTTGGATCACGGCCTCTTCCTCCATCTTTAAAGCCAGTAATGTAGCAACTTCTCTCCTCTCTGACCTCCGGCTGCCCCCTTACAAAGGCCCTTGTGGTTACGTGAAGCCGGCTTGGGTAATTTAGGATAATCTCTCCATCTCAAGATCTTTAATTTAATCACACCTACAAAGTTCCTTTTTCCATTTAAGGTAACATTTATAGGTTCCAGAGATTAGAGGGTGGACATATGTGGGTGCCATTATTCAGCCTACCAATGGGTGTACATTCCACCAGACTCTTGGGAAGATGAAACCAAGGACAAAGCCTGAGCGAGCCCTGGAACCACACTTGGTAATGCTTAAGAAGAGATTCTGGGAAGCCAGGTGTCTGGTGCATGATCTAGAAGTTGGGGAGCTGTGGGGTCATGGCGGATATGTCCCCTTGTCCCCCAGGATTCCCTGCCCTGCTCAGCCAGAGGAGTCCCTCTGAAGCTCAGGACCCAGGGCAGGAGCCTAAGGGTGGTACATCTTCTTTCCCCCGCTGCTCTGGCAGTCACATTTATTTCCCTTTCTCCTGATCTATCTACAAGATTGTATTAGAGGAATGCATGTTAGCAAATTGTTTTACTCTATTAAAAGTTCTTTTTCTCTTATTTGCATCCCTGCCTTTTACTTGTCATGAAAGAGCCCCATTCCATGCCCACTCACTGTTTTTAACCACCCCTACTGGCTTTCCCTTCCTTTGAATCTCTAATTCCATCCTTCCGCCACCTCTTCAGTATTCTTAAAATACAAAAGATTTCACTTGCTTGCTGTGTTTTTAAAAATATGCTATCCAGCTAGTAAGTTATTCCTGAATCTTACAACATTGTTAATTCATTCCTCTTATAATATTTCTTTTTTAGTTTTGAATTTTCCACCACCGTTTGAAGTCTGCAGATTTTCTCCTGTAATCGAATTTAAAATTACTTGTTTTGCTTGCATACTCTGTACTTACATTTTGCTGGATCTTGGCCATTTTGAATAATGTCTCCACACTTATACAATGTATATAGAAGAATTTTTATTTCAAAAAAAAAGTATTTTGAAAAAAAACATTTTTCTCCTAAGTTTTTAAAAATCCCTTAACTCTCATCTGTGTTTTTATTTATTCTTATTAACTTATTACTTATCTATGTTTAAGGCTATGACATGGTTTGAGAGAACTGTTAGATTTTAAGAGTTTATGAATTATTTCACAGGTTTCCTTTTTTATGAAGTTCTGTGGTTTTATTCTTTAATTTTAATTAGGTGTTACATATTCCTAAGGCACTAATAAAAATGCCAATTTACAATTAGTGAACTTATAAAATTTCAGTAAATTTTTATCTATGACTATATGATAATGTTATAATACTACCACCCCATGTGCTCCATGGCGGTGCATGTGTCAGTCTTATTTATGACTGTATCTCAGCGATGGTCCAGCCACAATGGCTGAATTTTAGCAGATAATTGAGTAAATGAGTGTGAGAATGAATGATAAAATTTCAGAAAGGCTTTTAAAAAATAATATAAAGGTGTTCAATATAAGCCACACTACCATAATCAGAATGTTGAAATATAGGCTTTTAATTTTCAATCAAATTTGTCATCAATCCTAGCCTATTTATACACTAAGGGTGCTAACTAAACTGTGTATATTCAAGATAATGGTGGTCTATTTAAATAGATTATGAATTGATAAATACAGAAGATATTATATAGACATTATTTTATATAGATACTACATATAGTGAGCCTTCTATATATTTTAGAATTATGTAGATATTAAGATACTAAATATACTAAAGATATTAAGATGTCTTTAGTTTAACAAAGTGTTAGATGATGGGAAATGTGAATCTCTGGTACTAAAATGAAGACAGGAAATGAGGGAAATATTTTTTCCTTATATCTTTCTCCTCATTCCTTCAGGAATTGTGAAAATTGGTTCACTGTGATTTTGTCTAGTTTTATGGTAAATATTTGTATGATTTCTTCAGTGTAAAGGTTTTTTACATAGATTCACCATTTCAAAGGTTTACCTCAGAGTGTTCTCTCTTTTCTTATGTTGTATTCTTCCCTGGTTTAAACTTTCAGAAATGCCTGAAGATGTCTTTTTTTATTATTTGTCCTCAGAATGGCTTTACTCCTTTATACATGGCTGCCCAAGAGAACCACATTGATGTTGTAAAATATTTGCTGGAAAATGGAGCTAATCAGAGCACTGCTACAGAGGTAAGACTGTCAGCCCTAAAGACTCAAGTTGTTTGATCTTAATGTTCATACTTTTTATATTCATCTGCAAAGCATGAATATAAAAAATATGAAAAAAATTTATATTCATTACCTTATCTAAAATATGCTAAGAATGTTCATGTTTCTATTATAATCTACAAATGAACAAATGACTCAGGCTTGTGCACATAGTTCTATGAGTTTATGCCTTCATTTTGGATTCGTGTCAATTTGTTTTTACATGAAATTATGCTTCTATCAATTTGCTGTACTCTAGCTTTGGGGAACTTTATACTATTCTAAAACTAAATGACCGTAAATTCTCCCCATCTTTTTTCATCTATATTTTATTTTTATTTATTTATTTATTTATTTTTATTTATTTATTTTATTTATTTATTTTTTTGTCTTTTTTCGTGTCCGGCAACGGATCGCAACCCTCAGTGTCGCGCCCGTACCGGACCGGGACCGGCAACGGGATTGCAACCCTCGGTGTCGCGCCTGCACCTCGCTCAGCCAGTGAGCGGGGATCCGAACCCTCGGCGGGAGCGCCGCCGTGCTCCCAAGCGGCGCACTGTAGCAGTGTGCCACCGGCCCGGCCCATCTATATTTTATTTTTGTTAGGATCCAATACAATTCCTTAAAGGAACAGTTTTTAACCATCGGAAATAATTCTTAACTATCTGTGTTATCACAATTTTATTTAGAATATGTTACTTAAAAAGCTGTTCATATTGAAGCACACGTTATGACACGTGGTTGTGAGACCATGATTAAGGCAACAATTGAATAGAATGTTCAAAATCAATCCAGTTATAAAGTTCAGGACATTTATAAGAAGCAGCTGGAGTGGGCAGGAACTTTGAGAACATCATTTTCCCTTCCGAGGCATGTCCACCTAACAAGCAAAACATGCTTGGTATTCTCCTTCTCATTTTTGCTTGGGCAGATTAAGGAGCAAGTTCAATGATTGTCCAGAACAGTGATTTTTAAGTGATGCTCCAAAAGCTCTTGAGCTTGGAGAAAAAGTGTCAGGAGATACCAAAAGGTTGGGAGCAGGTGGCATGGGAGAGGAGAGGAAGAAAGTTCCATTGAGACATATTATGCCCTCTTCACCTCTTCCGATCACAGTATTCAGGCTTTGTTTTTCCTATTTCATATTTTGTGGCCTCACTGATAAAATTTTAACTCCCTTCTATGCTGCATTGGAGGGAAGGGACATTAAAATCTATTAAATCCATTTCTAGTCCCTTTGAGAAAAAACTTTTTATGGAGCCAATTACAATAACTCTGACAGCTTTTCTCACTAGTTAGAAAAAAAGAATCCCAAGCAATTACTATTAATGAGACCACGTTTCTTGCATATACCTGGAAAACACAACTGCCCAGTATGAAATGATTTCAAGTTCTCTATTCAGCACACAGATTTCACACTCTTGCTCGCATAGATACAGTGTGATTTTTATGATTTGGCGCCTTTTTTTCCTGAGACACTAATTTTGTCCATGAGTAGTATGTGAATATCTTCAGGCAAAGCTTGGGTAACAATGTAAGATTGTATCTCTCTGCATCAGGACCTCTGAGAAATATACCAAAATAAGGAAATCTATGTTTGTTTTATTTTATTTTCTTGAAGGCAGAATCATTTACAAGATGTGACCCTTACACTAGAGTTCTTTTACTCACCAAACAGACTTCATATTTCTAGTGTGTAATTTAGGGAAACTCATCATGCTGGCATTCTCAGCTGTCTTATGGCTTCTTCATTCTAGAACTCTGTACCATTTTAGTCTGGTTCTAGAAATACCCCTTTATGTACGTTTCATTGGTTGAAACTATATTACACTGTGCTCCTCAGAAAATTAAAACCCTCTCTGATTTCCACAAAGAAATGAGGCTTTTGCAAATGAATTATGTGGAGTTTTGAATCTTAGCTTAGAAATATTATATATCTGTTATTTGCTTAATTTTTTTAAAAAAATCATTTAAATAAGTAACACTATTACTTCCCTGATTAATCATTTAAATAAGTAGAATTATTTTTTCTTGATTATTACACACACACACACACACACACACACACACACACACAATTGTTTAAACCCTCACCACTGGCCCTAATGATTATCAAGAAATACATATGAACAAACCTTTATATTTTCCCTTTTAGTATATCATTCTTTAAAAAAAAATAATGTCTTTCAGGGCTGTATGGTTGATTGCCATTTGATTTTCTATGTTGTATCACGAAATAACTTGTGCAGCCTCATGTACATGTGTATGAATATGCTTAAAGAAGGCACTTCCCCTCAACCAGTTGGTAGCCCTAATTTGCAAAAATTAATTACTAATCAAGACATTATGACCACTTTAGAAATCAGATAATTATGAGATTATTCAATACGTTGATGAAACTCAATTTGAGAAAAAAATTTAAAGTTTTAAAATTTCCCATAATTAAAGTAATTAGCATTGGTAAATAAATGATGAAAAAGGAAGCTGCTAAATTTTAATATGGGTTTTCTTTTCATAGAATTAGTTGAAGTACTTAAACTATTCTAAATATTTAGCCTTCTCTTATGATGTTATAGATTAGAATGAAATCTATGTGGTGAGATCCACAGTTAAGTTCTCTGAAGAAAGTTCTCTGACCCTCCAGTTCCACTTTTATATTTTTTTCCTCTCTTCCTTCTCCCTGAATGTTACCAAAATTGAAGGCTGAAAACTTTTTAATAAGGTTTTGTTCTGTGAGCAAATGCTTACCTCCAAGAAACAAAATAAAATTAATATAAACTATAGCAGCATTGCAGGGGGTAATAAATTAAATATGTATATGATAATGAGTCTGTGCTTTTATCATCCATGGAGTATTTAATTTGTGCCAGAGTTCTAAATTCAGGCTACTATTTTTTTGTCTTAACATTATATGCTTTACTCTTCTGTTCAGCAATGTGTTAAGTTTAATTCAATTCTCATTAAAAGGAAAAAAGTTCAATTCTTATTGTGGTCGGTACTGCATACACAATATGATACACTTGAAGAAAAGTATTTTCTCTTAAATTTAAAATATATTAAAAAATATTATTGAAAACAAATTGAGTAGTTTGATTGTGGCAAATTAGCATCGTCTCTAGAATGTAATCTTTAAATTTACCATTCTGTTGCTGTCTCTTCTCTGTATGAATGGAAACTTGTAACTCTGACTTGTTTTCAAACTTTCGTGGATTAAAAGAGGTTTTTATATAAAAAGAGCATAGAATATATATATATACACACACACACATATATGTGTGTGTGTGTATATATGTATTTTATTTTTGTCACCTTTCCAAGAACTGAATACCTGTTTCTAGAGAGAAAATATGGCTTTCCAAATTTTCTAGCATGTTATCTATCTACCCCTAAGACCCCTCTAATTTTGTGTTATCTGTGCTATTATGTTTTAAGCTCACTCCTTTTTAAGTTTAGAATTGAAAAGCTGATTTTTTTAAATTACCTAGCACATGTAATTTTATATCTAAATGACTTAAACAATATAAAATTCAACTATTAAGTGCAAAATTAATCAGTTAGTTTTCCACAGAATTTTAGATCATATTATGTCCCAAACTTCCAGAACTGAATTGGTAACAGGCCATTTTATGCACTATGGTTATCGTTTTCTCCTAACCAATACAGAGATATTTACCAACTTGCATGGCAATCACATTTTTTATTTTCCTATCAAAGTTACCATATCTTTGATTGCCAGTCACACTTGGTCTCCATTCTTTCTACCCTCTCACTTTTTTTTGCTTTGCATAAGCAGGGATTACCTAGGGTTGGTTCTAATTTTTATTTTCCCATTGGAAACATAAATTTGAACACATCCTATATGTAGTATTCCTTGCTACAAAATGCAGATGTTTTTCAAAATGTATAGAATAGAAATTAGGAAAGCAATCTGATTAAACTAGTCCATGGTGTAGCCAATGACTGGTTATAATCTCCTTGTAATCTTCACAGTAATACTTAATTCTTTTGCTCCATAATCTTAATCATTAATTTAAAAATTAGAGGCACCATTGCATGGAGTTGAATCCAAACATCTCAAAGTTAATGGAAGATTTTCTCTTCTTTGATTTTACCAGGATGGCTTCACTCCTCTGGCAGTGGCACTCCAGCAAGGACACAACCAGGCGGTGGCCATTCTCCTGGAGAATGACACCAAGGGGAAAGTAAGGCTGCCAGCTCTGCATATTGCAGCTAGGAAAGACGACACCAAGTCTGCCGCACTCCTGCTTCAGAACGACCACAACGCTGACGTACAATCCAAGGTAAAAGCTGCTCACATTTGCAGAAAGAAGCTCTCCGGCTGCCAGGTTCATCTTGAGAGATGATAAAGAAGTAGGCGATGGTGATAACGCAAAATTACTTCTGGTCATGAAAAGAGATAAATTACTTCCAGAGGTATTTCAGAAAGAGGGGGACTGTCTATTGGGTACAAAAACAAACAAACAAAAAAATTAGACGCAACATAATTTTCTTTAAAAGATGAGTTTCAGTTTTTTAGAAATCTGATTTCTTATTCGGTTTACAATCATATATAATAGAAACAGAATTAGAAAAATAATACTGGATTGTGTAGTGTTTTGAGACGAATTTTCTCGGTAGAATGCATTTTGGCATGTTGGAGCAGTACACCCAATTGCAGTGAGCAGACTGTTTCCTTAATTTTGCATTTTGTAATGTCTTCCCTCTTTTTCCCACACAACAATGCTTCAGATGATGGTGAATAGGACAACTGAGGTACAGTATTGTGGTTATATCAAAATTTACCTTGTTTTTATTTATTTTTAGCTTTTGCCCAATTAGAATAAATGCTCACTAATTCATACTAATGATTAGAAGTTCCATTAGTGGAAAATTAATTTGGAAACTTTTCCCATAATTAAAGCAAATTGATAATTCAAAATATTTAATACAACATATACTTGAAGCATTATTTTTATTAGTGAAACTATTTAAATATAGTTTATTAGAGCAGAGCATGAAATTAAACTCTTCCCTAAAATATATCAGTGAGTGAGCTTTACTATTAACTTTTTGCCAAGAAGAAATATGATCTTGTTTTCTTAATGGGAATTCTCAGGTTAGAGTTTAGGGAAGTGAAAATTAGGAAGGTTTCTCTGCCACTGTGTTTTATCTTTTTATCTAATTGCAGTTGCCGCTTTTTTTTCCTGTATTCTTTTTTCTTTGCCACATTGTATATAATCAATAATGACATTGAGAATATCATGAGCAAAGTAGTTGCTTTTTCTTTTAAGTCTTAAAATACTTGCTATGAAATCATCTTTTTCCACATACCAAAATAAATCACAACCATCAACAAGAACATTAAGAAGCCTCTCAGTGGGGTGTGTGTGTGTGTGTGTGTGTGTGTGTGTAATCTCTCCTTGGCTATTGTTACAAGGAGGCACCAACACAAACATTGTTGAAAGCATATTATAAAAATTAACCTGTACTCAAAGACAAGTGACTATTTATGCAGGTTAATTTTTGCTTTGCTGGGGGTGTTCTTTAGACTAACATCTCATTTGATTGGGTTATAGAATTGTGGAGGTTGTGGACCTTTGATCATCCTCACTTAGTATTTACTGAGAGTAATATATTTCTAAAACTATTATCTTGTTTATTAACATATCTCCATATTGGGACGTCAATATATTTGAATAATTCATATCAATTCTTTTGCTTCATATCTGTGCATAAAAAAGGCTCAACTGCTTGGTGAAGTTTTTCAAAACTGATATCTTTTTTTTTTTTTTTTTTTTGTCTTTTGTCTTTTTCCGTGTCTGGCAACGGATCGCAACCCTCAGTGTCGCCCCCGTACCGGACCGGGGACCGGCAACGGGATTGCACCCCTCGACGTTGCCCCCGCGCCTCGCTCAGCCAGTGAGCGGGGACCGGTCTGTATGTGGGATCCGAACCCTCGGGCGGGAGCGCCGCCGTGCTTCCCAAGCGGCGCACTTATCCAGTGCGCCCCCCGGGCCGGCCCCAAAACTGATATCTTTTTTTTTTTTTTTGTCTTTTGTCTTTTTCCGTGTCTGGCAACGGATCGCAACCCTCAGTGTCGCCCCCGTACCGGACCGGGGACCGGCAACGGGATTGCACCCCTCGACGTTGCCCCCGCGCCTCGCTCAGCCAGTGAGCGGGGACCGGTCTGTATGTGGGATCCGAACCCTCGGGCGGGAGCGCCGCCGTGCTTCCCAAGCGGCGCACTTATCCAGTGCGCCACCGGGGCCGGCCCCAAAACTGATATCTTAATTACTAATTTTAATACCTTTAATTTCTTAGGTGCTTTTTTGGTTATTGTTAAAGGTATATTTTTGAAAGCCATATGGGCTCTAAACATTCTGCTGAAAGCAGCAGTTTGGGTAGATAGTTATAAATGTATTGTATAAATGTGCTGAGTTATAAATGTTTCTTTGAAAACAATAGAATAACAAAGAATGGAAATCCCTCCACCTATAATCCTGTAGAAAGGTGAACTCTGCCTCCCACTTCCATATTAATCAGGGAGGAGTTCCTCTGAGAGGCTTATATTACATGAGTGTTGATCCAAGATTCATAGCCTGAGGCATCATCATGGATGGTCAATGAGTCTGTGTCAGAAAATAAATTAGTTTATATTTGCAAATGAGAAAAATAATATTACTGTATTTAAATAATTTGAAAATGATTCACCAGCAGTCGATAGTTTTTTTTTTCTGGATATTTCTGGGTGACAGGAAATATTAAGATAAAAATGGAAAAAAATTCAATTATTTTCTAAAACAGAAATATTTGATATTTTGTAAATGAACAGCCAGGTTGTAAACTGATTTTTCCCTCCATCGAATATCTGGCATCATGTAGACACAAAATAAAAATATCTTGAACACAGTTGTGTGATTTGGATGGATAGTTACTATTTTGATTTTATCAGAAATTATTTGCAGCTAATGAAATTTCTATTATGTAAGGTATTTGAATGCGTATTTAGGGCATTTTTAAAACAAGCCTATATATCAGTTCAATAGAAAAACAATGGTTGTGATTTAGAAAATATTTCTTAAAAACAATATGGTACACATCAAAGTTTATTTCAAGTAAAAGAGAACAATACAAAATCACACGAAGGCTGCAGGATATGATAGCCAATTAACAGTCTCTGTTTTTCCCATAATATTTTATTAAGTAATAAAAATTATGGAGAGTAAGGACATTTTTCAGATAATACATCTTTGTGTACTTTAATAAGAAAAGATTTAATATGCTTCTATTGTGAAAACAGAAAAATTTCTAAGTTTTCATCAGAAAGATAAATGAAAGGAAATATACTTTTCTTCATTTAAGATTATCAGACTTGTTTAAACATTCTGAGCGTAAATACTTCTCTAATGCCTTATAATTTGTTTAACCCAATTGGTTCAATCACATTTTATTTAATTGATAAAACTTGATTTCATTAACATTCAAAATTGGATTAAGGTGAACTTTTAAAATTATTTTGTATTAACATTGATGCCAACTATATTATTTAATTTTTGTTTTTTAATTCTTTTTTCATTATAACAACATAATCTGACTAAACTGTTGTGAAAGTGGATAGAATTATTATGACAGTGTAAATGATGTATAATGAAATATATATTCTTTGTAAGAATTTATTACCATATTTTCACAGTTCCAAAGATAAAATGCCAACCAACGCTATTTTTTAAAAAACAGAACAAAACTGAAAACCACTAGTTTTGAATCTTCCTCTGAAAAAAGATTATTTTATCCATAATTATGTTAATCCTATGGCTGAAATCTTATGTTGTTTAATCATATTCTATTTTTCTCTAACATGCTAAATCAACTCAAGAAACATGGTTTTGTATAGAAAACCAGATACATAAACAGATAAATAGGTAAGGTAATTAAACAAAATGTTGCCAATAAGTGTAGGATTTTTATTTGCTTCTTTATGTATTTATTTATTTAACACCTTATAACACTAAGATTTAAAGAGTCTTATTAAAGCATTTATTATCTGAATTGTGTTGCTCATATATGAGATAAACAGTTACCATGGGATTTTCTTCACTAATGCAATGACCACAACATGTAGAGGTGAAAAACTTTACTGACTGTCATTTCTTTGCTTTCCATAGAGTGGATTTACCCCTTTGCACATAGCTGCACACTATGGAAACGTCAACGTGGCAACTCTTCTTCTAAACCGGGGAGCTGCTGTGGACTTCACAGCCAGGGTAAGGATTAAAATAGTTTCTCATTTTAGATAGCAGTAAATGGGTATTTTAAGAAAGTAAGGGGCCGGCCCGGTGGCGCACTGGATAGTGCGCCGCTTGGGAAGCGGGGCGGCGCTCCCGCCCGAGGGCTCGGATCCCACCTCCAGACCGGGTCCCGCTC